ATTTATTTCGAAACTGTTCCGCTACGAGTGTTTGATCATTTTATCTTTTCCGCTAACTTTGACGTGTAGTATAATTCCTGCAGTAATCTGATTAAAAAAATGTTTGAATTGTGACTATAAAACTTTTCAGATACATAAATTACTTTTCGAAATCATGAATCGATCGATCAATGTTAGACAAACATTAGAAACCTGGAAGCACTAGAACGGCCGTTTCGTTCTGGTATGCAACTCTACAGCAGTAAGCATCCACGACTATCACAAAAATTAACTTAACAATCTTCACAACCGTTTCATACAAAATGTACATAAACGATTTTTAAAAATTTTACTATGTACTCTTATTTTTATTTTATTGAAAACATGCTGTGATTACGTTTGTCTAAAGATTGCACTCTTATAAAATCTAAACAAACCATGTAGTAAAGGATTTTGTAAGACACATTGTAACTTTTATGATTTCAATGGAAGTTTGTTTTATTTCACTAAAAAATAACACATCATTCGTGTTTGTTTATTTCTTACCGAATAAGCTATTTTTGTAACATTCACAACATAGAAAAGCTAAATGAATCAATGTCTTAATCATTTATTAGAACAAAGATTCATTTTGATGTGTATCAGTGTAAGTTGAATATGCCTTGTTTAGTGATTTAATATTCGTTTAAGGGTTTTATTTAAAAACTTACTTTGTATATTTTCTTTGTTTTAAATGACTAACCTGTAGTGGAACTATTTTGTCGAAAAACCACGATTACTGATGTACAAATACTTATTATTGAACATATGTAACATTAACTGTTTTATTGTATACCATTTGTTTATTTGTACTAAAAGTCACTTTTCGAGCGCCACCCACGCCATCCCTGCGGATCTAACGGTCTTCTCGTGTAATCACCGATTGTACAAGCTGAACACGTGATATTATTCTAATATCACTCGACTTTCTATTAATAAACGTCGATATCCTACATACAATCTTCTGTTCTGGATTTCGTTTGGACGTGTAACCATCACGTCTCAACACTGGTGAGCCCGACGTCTCAAGCCAGCACACGTCGATGACAGTGCCCTACTTGCTAATCCGAGACCCAATGCTAGACCTAGCGGGATCCTCAAAACTACCCCGGATCCCACGCTAGCGAAATCAGAAACCTCATTCTCACGTCCCAGTCAGCAGCACGCGCCATCTGCACTATCTACGGATGAGACTCCGGTCTCACGTCCAGATCAGCAGACCACGCCGCACTTGACTGCGGATGAGAATGCAGGCTCACAAGGTACGCACGAGGCTACTGTCTCGCGTTCCGGTCGCCGGCGTACGCCTACCTGTACGCTTTCTCGAATAACTACCAATCTTTCACAGGGGCGGCATAGGATTTTACCATCATACTACACGCATGCTACACTCTTTCTCCTTTTTCTTTGATTTTTTCTTATCCCGAGCCTATACTCCCGACCATTGTCCTGTTGGTACCGTCGACTTCAGTCAACCTTGGCGAAAGCTGGCCTGATCACCCACACTCTAGTCAATGCATTCAGTCGATTTTCTGGTGACGAATATATCTGGTATACGAATGGTTTCGCACTGGTCGTTTCTGGCTTTCTCGCGCAATCTGGTTCCGTCCTACGTCTGCAGCTTTATTTGGTCCGGACCCCTACGAACGCAATTATCAGACACTGGATACGAGCCACGCTGGTGTGGTATGCTAACCCGATGGAAGAACTTGGCGCGTAATTATTGGCACGGCAGCGGACAAACTCCCGGTGACAACTCGAGCTTCATCAGTCGCTTCCTGTCGTCAACCATTCTGCCCGTCAACCGAATATTGGCCGACGAGACCCCTGAACGAAGCCGCTACATATCGAAACTGTAAAACGCTTTCTAGGGGGGGGCTACTGTAGTGGAACTATTTTGTCGAAAAACCACGATTACTGATGTACAAATACTTATTATTGAACATATGTAACATTAACTGTTTTATTGTATACCATTTGTTTATTTGTACTAAAAGTCACTTTTCGAGCGCCACCCACGCCATCCCTGCGGATCTAACGGTCTTCTCGTGTAATCACCGATTGTACAAGCTGAACACGTGATATTATTCTAATATCACTCGACTTTCTATTAATAAACGTCGATATCCTACATACAA